CGGTACCGGATAAACCTGCTTCTTCGCCGGCTTAACTAGTACAGCTAAATGCCGTAGTCAATGATGCTAATTAACTAGTACCACCTTTTCTGTGACGACGAATGTGCGCCCAGCCGACCTATGCGGGTAAGTTCGTAGCGCAACTATGCACTCAAACGTGAACCCAAAACGAATAAACGCCACACACTCTCGCGCTTCCACATCCTGCTGTACTGAGTCACATTGAGCTACACAAGACATCATCGATGAATGAACGAATGCCGGAATGCATGCAAGTATGGTTGAGTTCCTAAGGTCGCCACATGCTAGCACAACTCTCTTTCCCGAAGTCTCCCATTCCTGATCTCATCACACAACCGGTATCTAATTTTCTTCTTTGGGCATGTATCCCTATGCTGCTTCTTTTTCAGCTTTCCCAAGTCGTGAGCTATTTGATAGCGGCAATATAAGTTTGTGTCAACCGGTAGGTCGTCAAGCTTGCTGCAAGTTCAACATTATATGTGCGTGCTACATTATTGATAAGTACCATTTTGCATTGATTTCGTATCAGTAAGTAGTACATTTATGAGTATTTGAGCGCGTTTATACGCATATTGAATGGAAGGCAAATCATGAACTTTAGTAGACAATTATTGTGTAAACATGTACAATATGTAGTCAGTTACTTGTTCTCGAGATGGGACAATCATAGTGGGGAGTAACTTAGACTATGTTACTACCTTCATAGTTGGGAGTAACATAGAGATAGTGTCATAGGTGGTTGTACTTATTAGTTTATAGACTCGTTTTGTCTTGGAAAGTGTTATGTGATGATAACATATTAGAACATTATCAAAGTGAGCTAGGGTAACTTCTTAAATTAACATCTGGTTCCAAATATCATTAGACAAGTTGGGAGAACTTACTAAATCTGACATTGGCATGTTCATTGTCAAATAGTATTGCACTAATTAAATTGCACGTGATCATATGACACCAAGTAGTAGAAAAGTCGTGAAGTAGCTTAATATTTACTCTCAACTTAATTAGGGCGTTTTTTTGATTCACAGGATTGTAAGAACATATTAATAGCAAAAACATAATATTGGAATGTCATGCCCATTAGAATCTTACAAGATTTGTGTTTACTTAAGAGAATTTTTATGGTACATTGGAGCTCTTGTGTGCCCGTGAACCCTATATGAATAGTAAAATAAATAAAAATACCATGAAAAATTAAAAAAAAAGAAATTTAGGAGTATCAAACCTGATTGATCATTCTACTCCCGTATGAAGTTCCGTAAAGAAATGTCATTCGAGGTATTCTCGGTAGATAAGTCAAAAAAATTGATTGTATAAAAATGTTTGAATGAATCGTAGGCCAGACTGTATTTTTTGCTATGAATACCACAGATGCCTTAACGAAACTTCACACATGAGTAGAATCATCAACCAGTTTTGATACCCGGAAATTTAGATTTGTTTGAATTTCACTGGTACTTTTTCTGTTTTACTATTCATATAGGGTTAGCAGGCAATACTCGACCCTTTCTCTAGCATCAATCGTGGTTGCTGCGGCCACACACCCTTGCCTGCTGTTGCCACATGCTGTCGTCATCAGGCTTGTCCGCATCTACACACTACTCAGTGTCTCCAGGTTGCCGGCCCAGCCCTCAATGCGGTGCGCTCATGCCAGCCAACACGCCGCAGCTCTGGTCGTGTACGCGGCATCTGGGGTAATCCCTGCTGTTTGATTCTCATACTGCAAGCTCTAATGCTAGGCCACATTTCTGTGATATAGAATACACTGAACAAATACAGTTTATTAAGGAAAATAATGTTTATCAAATGGCTAGAGCCTGTTCATGAATAGTGATACAATGGGGCCATATAGGTCGCGTTATGCATCGCCCGGCAGATCTTTTTAAATGATCCGCCCCCTCTTGAGTCGTTGGATTGTGCCACAGATAGTCGTCTGATCTCCCAATTGAGGTGCATCGAAAATTAACAATGTAGATGTTATGAAATTCATTGCTTTGTTGCAAAACCACCTAAGCATTATATTCACTTAAAGTTTTATTTTGTCTTCAACTTTTTATGCAACATAGATGATGTTGCGGAAGAACTTTTACAACATTGATTTTTTTCGGAAAGGGGTTTTACCCCAGCCTCTGCATCAGAAAGATGCATACGGCTCATATTATTAATAAAAAATCCAGCAACAAAGTCTCCAAGTCTCGAAGTATGAAATAAACAAACGCTCATAAGAGCCAAACCGAAAGCCACAACCGGCTGGCAAATAAAATAGGAGCACTACATGCCTATCCTATTACATGACCGCCGTCCAAACCGGTTGAAAATATCCCGAGCTACCATCTCCCATCGGATAGACGCAGTAGCCAAACGCCCCTTGGCCTCCGTCGGAGTGAGTAGCGACCACATACGGATCAACGCTGTGGCCCTGAAGATAACCTGCAAAAAGTGAATGTTCATTGATATGTTAAAAACCAAATCATTTCTGCAGTTCCAGACTGCCCATAATAAGGCACAAACTCCAACACGAATGTGCCTCGCTATATCTGAGTCAACCCCATCAAGCCACGTTCCAAATAATATGTTGATGGAAGTGGGCGGATTAATATTAAAAGCAATATGAATCGAACTCCAAAGAATCTTAGCCAGCGGACAATCTAGAAAGAGGTATTTGATAGTTTCGTTATGGTCACAAGAACTACAACTAGCAGAACCCACCCAATTGCGTTTTGCCAGATTATCCTTTGTCAAAATAACTTGTTTATGCACGAACCACATAAACACTTTGATTCGCAAAGATACCTTAACTTTCCAAACGTGCTTCGAGGAGGGAATGACACTAGAGTTTATGACATCCAGATACATGGATTTGACCGAGAACACACTGTCCTTAGTCAGTTTCCAATACAAACGATTTGGCTGCTGAGACAGCTGGACATCCATCAAACGTCTTACATGATGGAGCCAGGCCTCCCAACGATTTCCAACTAGCGTCCTCCGAAAGATAATATTGAGGGGAGTGGGTTGTAGAATGTTTGCAACGTAAGCTTCTCGACGTTGAACAACGTTGTACAGAGTAGGATATTGAAGTGCAAGGGGCGTCTCCCCAAGCCACGTATCCTCCCAGAACCTTGTATTAGCTCCATTTCCGACTAAGAACCTTGTCCTGTTGAAAAAGAGTGGCTTGACTCTCATAAAACCCTTCCAAAATGGTGAATCGGTCGGTCTCACTGTCACCTGTGCCAAGGTTTTAGACTGAAGGTACTTATTTTGCAAAATCTGAGCCCAAGTAGCCTCCGTCTCGAACGAAAGTTTGAATAGCCACTTGCTAAGGAGACATCTGTTCTTGACTTCCAGATTTTCAATGCCTAGCCCCCTTGATTCTTCGGCCTACAGATGATGTCCCATTTTGAAGCCTATACTTTCGTTTAAGCTCATCATTCTGCCAAAAGAATCGAGATCGATAAAAGTCTAGCCTCTTCCTGACCCCCACCGGGACCTCAAAAAAGAATAGGAGAAACATAGGCATACTGGTGAGGACCGAATTAATCAAAATTAATCGCCCTCCATATGACATGAGCTTCCCTTTCCAACAGCTCAGTTTCTTCTCAAAACGATCCTCGATGCATTTCCACTCCTTGTTGGTCAGCTTACGATGATGGATGGGTATACCTAAGTACGTGAACGGTAACGAACCCAATTCACATCCGAACAATTGTTTATACGCCTCCTGGCCATCATTAGCTCTTCCAAAACAGAACAATTCGCTCTTGTGAAAGTTAATTTTGAGACCGGACAATTGTTCAAATAAGCATAACACAAGCTTCATGTTTCTCGCTTTCGCCGAGTCATGCTCCATAAAGATGATAGTATCATCAGCATACTGTAAGATGGATATACCGCCATCAACTAGGTGCGGAACCAAGCCACCTACCTGCCCCGCATCCTTAGCCCGTCCTATCAACATTGATGGTGTTGTAGAATTATATTATTTTTCGTCTTCACCTTTTTTGCAACATAATTAATGTTGCGGGAGTACTTTTGGAACATGAATAATGTTGCGGAAATATTTTCAATGAAAAGATGAAATCATCTATGGTGTGAATCAAGAAAGTTATGCAACAAGAGATGACGTTGCGGAAGGACTTTGCCAACAAGGCCTTTGTTGCGAAAAGTATAAAAAAGCATCGCCGACAGGAGTGACGACGGATACAGAGGGAAGTCTGGAGCTGCGCAACTGATCAGATGGTGGCCGGAGCGGAGCTCGGACGTGCACGCTCGAGCAGCAGCCATGGCTGCGAGATGGCGTAAGGAGGCGAAGTGTACATAAGGAAAGGATAAAAACACATGTTGGATGTAGGAGGTGGCAGGCGCAGTGTGTGTTATTCGCCGGCTGAACCATAGCGTTTTCCATATATTAATTGTTCTTGGACAGATCAGGGATGCTCGCTGAGAGATTTATGATGCTGAACTACCCAAAATGCCCATGGCGCCTAAGTATACTTTTTTGTGTAGTATTCATGCATCCAGACCATCTGATCACAAAAATAAACAGCCCAAAACCAGTTGATGTTCTGTAAAATGTCTCATATCCAATTGTATCACAGACAAAACAAATGAATTTTTTTTCATGAGGTTGGAGTGGATGCTAGATTTTCCGTGGAGAGTATTAGAAATGATTCCATAAAAAAATCCACAGGATTCAATTCAATTAATAAAACCACCAACATATGAAAAATTCCTATAAAGTAACCTTCAAATCAAAGGTGCCCTTAATTTATCAAGCACATGTGACAACGTACACAAATTTCACAAATATACATACGAATTTGACCGGCTCGAACGTATCGAATACCACCAATAACACACAGCACAATCCCGGCACCACTAGTATGGCGGCATCACCACGTGAATTTTACGGAAAAAAGTACAAGCCGCCGGCACACCGTCCAACGAAACGCCGGAAAATCAGGGTGGAAACCGAGGTTTCAACCGTACAAACATCGCCCGTCCCATGCAGGAGCTGCCGGACACCCGAAATCACCACCGTAGTAGTACGGCGCCGTCATCGGCGGGTAACAGGTCACCGGAGCAAAGTCTACTGTGGGGTACAAACTGCTATCCGACTCCCCCACCGTCGGGTAAATTCCACGGCTCGACGTCTCCGACAACGGTGGGTAGACCGCAATCGGCTCCGCCTGAGTGTCCGACGAAGCTGGAGGAGCGTAGTAGCTTGAGCACGTGACCGTGTCCAGTGGCCCCCAGTCTATCATGGGGTACATCCCGGAGGATGACCCCGTCGACTGAGGCAGCGGCGGGGGAGGGGCCGGGCTAGCGGGCGATACGGGCTCGCCGTCGCTGCTGCGGTCCTCCTGGTCGTCGTCGACGGTGCTTCCGTGGTGGAAGGCGTACGAGAAGGAGATGACGCCGTTGGGCTGCCTGCGGTCCTCGGACGCGGCCAGCTGGTAGGACACGCGGCGCGTCCTGCCGTCGGCAACGAGGTCGGAGAGCGGCACGACGGCCGACGCGGCGAGCACGTCGCCGAGGACGGCCACCTCGGCCTTGAGCTCGAACCGAACGAGAAGGACACCGCCGTCGTGGTCAACGTGCCCGTCCTTCTTTTTCCCCGCGGCTTCCTGCTCTGACGCCGGCGAGGCGTCGTCGGGAAGGGGAAGGCGCAGGCGCTCGTCCCACTCGGGGTTCTCGCCGCCGGCGCGGTCGGTGGGGGTCTTGACGCGGCGGCGGCGGACGTTCTTGCCCGCGGACGACGGCGTCACGCAGACGGAGGCGTAGAGGCACGGCGTGTGGAACGGGAGCGACGACCTGACGCCCCGGCACGACACCCACGAGATGTCGATGGCCGCCGGCTCCGGCCGGCGCCGCAGGCAACCCATCCGCAAACTCGGGTGCCCGAAGACTCGACTCTGGGTTGCCTACTTGGCTTGGTGTTGGTTAAGAAGGTGCTGGGCAACGCGGTGGCGGGAGACGACTGGAGGGAGGAAGTCGATCGCGAGCGAGGCTGCGCGTTTGAGTCCGACGGATAGGCGGTAGGTTTGGAAGGGGTCTGTGTCAAATTAATGGCGCGGCATTAACTTAGGGTTGCTGTCACAGACTGGAGGAGGTTGCGCGGCAACTTCTTCTGTTGTCGAAAGCTACGTGCAGGGAGAACTCGGTGATAGACAGGGAAGTCACGAAGACTTTTCCCTTGTTTTTCTGCGAAGGAGGTAGACTTTTCTTGGGTGTTCGTGTCTGGTGGATAAGAACTGCAGTGGAAATCTACAGGGTGTTGGGTACAAGACATCTGTCACCACGACGAAACCTCAAGAAACACTCAACGAAACCTCATGAAAACATATGTGACGGTTCTAAAGGATTTCATGGAATAGTGAGCAAGAAAGGCGAACCATCGCCCACTCACGGCTCTCGCGTCGCCCCGAATGGGCGACGGAACCCTAGCCGCCCGAGCCACCCACCCTTCCTCTCCCTCCCTCCCCGCCGCCACCCAAGGACGTCGCCGGCTGCCGTGCGGCCTCCAGTGAAGGTGGTGGTAAGGCTCTGCTGCCCTGCATCGTTGCAGGGACCTTTGGTCGCCGGGTAGGCGGCCATGGTTCTGGCTAACCGTGTTGACCTCTCCGGTCACGTGTGCAGTGGAGGTGATTCAC